CTTTATGGCAGCCTGCCTTATCATATCTCGTTCTTCAGCATTAAAGAAGGATCTTAATATAGCCGAGATATCATCATATGAATATATACTATTTCCCAAAAATTAGTCCAGCCTTTCTGCCACCCCCAACGTATCATCCATTAATTTTCCCATTTCCTTTTTGAAAGCCCTTACATCCCCCATGTTAATGGGAACATATACAAACCCGATTATTCCGGGAGCAGTAGGGACCTCCCTTAAAGGGTATAGATTAGGTCTGTCCCTTTCATCATCGCTGTCCCCCGTGTTTTCTTTCGTTGTTTTTTGCTGAGTTCTACTGGCAGGAGGGGATGCGTTTTTCTCCGGTGTGGTATGTGTGTGTGTGTGTCTCCCCGTGCTGTGTGGAGAGGGGGGGTGGGGGTTGAGACGCTCCTGGAGCGCCTGCATCAGAGACTTGTGTATTAGGTGGTTGTGCAGGCTGAGCCGGGGGGGATGATGGGGGGACTGCCGGGACCAGGGCTTGAACTGGGGGAACCTGGTATGGGGGAGGCAGGTTTTCTAGGGGTTCCCAAGTTTTCTCTGAGCTTACCTTGCTGCCAGAGGTTTTAATAGGGAACAGCCACACGCTGGCATATTCCCATAGCCTGGCATAGTCTAATTCCTCATCATCCCATTCCTCTTCCTCGTACAAGTGATCCGAAAGTGCTTGGCAGAGCTTACTCTCGAAGGTACCAAAGACGGGCCAGTATTGGAATTTTCCAATTTCCATATTTCCCCATACTTCTACACAATAGTGTATAATTTTTTTCTTTGGAATTTTCTGTCTAACAGAACAGTCCTCTCAGTTTTCTAACATCCAGCCCAGGTGACTTTCCCTCGGAATCTCAGGGAATTCGTCCTTTTTTCCCTCCCTTATTTTTGAATGCTTACCTTTTCTTGTTTCTAGGAGTTCACTCTTTCCCGGCTTAGGATTTTCCCTTCGTGGTCCCCCCCACACTTTGTAGGTTTTCTGTCCCATATTAAAAAAATTTTCCTTACCGTGTTCCAAGTCAGTGTCCACAAGTTGTTCCGAGAAGTCAGTTACCCGTGTGCTAAAATGTATATTTCAGTCCTATCCCGGACTGAGTTTACTAAGTGTTTAAACCGGTCTCTCTGACCGAACCTTGTCAACCTAAATAACCACGCAGCGAACTGGTCTGTGGGTTTTTTGGCTGGAAAATGAATGATCTCTCTTTTACCTGTTTTCCTGGGCTCCCCGAGCCCAGAGCCGGTGAGGTTTACCAATTTCTCGTGTCCACGAGAACGTACCTTCCCTCCCCTGACCTGTCCATGGGTGGATCCCTGTAAACTCCCAGAGTTTCAGGTCGTATGCGTGTTGTGAGTATACCTGAGTCCTTTCGCTTCCCCCATAGCCAACCACCTCCCTCGCGGGCTAGTGGAACGGCGGTTTTTGTGGCCCACTCTCGCGCCATGACTATGTCACGTCTCACTCAAACACACACCCACCCACGCGCCACCCAACCATGCAGTACTTACGGCTCCTTTTCCCGTGTGGATTCTTCGTGCACGTCGATTTTACGAGTGAAAAATTGCTGCAGCCTCGGAGATTTAGCTCCGAATTCTGAGAGCTCTGGGCCCGTTTATACCCTTTCCTTAATGTGGCTTTTCGGCTGCTTTTGGAATCTGGTTGGTTCCGTGGAGTCCCGCAGTCCTTTCCGGCTGCTGAAATCAGCAGGGCACCGCCCGGATCAAGGATAGGGAACTCCCTGGATACCCCCAAACCAGATCACGTAAGGGGTCACCAAGTTTGTTATAAATGAAAATTTTTTCAGCCAAATTAAAAAAAGCAAAACAGTTTTATTTGCGGTCAAATTCTATCTAGCCAGCTACAGGAAAAAAACAGTGCCGAGCCCGGGGTCAGCCCTGGGTGTGCAACAAGGAGTGTCATGGTTTGACACGGGAAGAGAATTTTTTTTGGAAGGAAGAGGTCAATCCAGTCAGGGGTCAGGTTTGGATACTGACACTTGGGGTGACCAATTGAAGGTGGACACGCCTCTGAGAACACAGAGGGGTTAAAAGCGGAATTCCCAGGAGGACTCGTCCCTCTTTGGTTCCGGTCATCGCAAGGTACGGACCTCCCCCCCCAGCTTGGGCTGGGTGGGGGAGGGGAGCCATGCAGCCTGCAGAGGTAGGCCAGGGGGTAAAGGATCGGAACCGAGCTGGGCCAGCTCCTGCGGATGGAAGGGTGGAGAACATCTGGGATGTTTTTTTCCCCCTCCCCTAAGCTAGAGGGGAAAGAGATAGAGAGCCAGCAGACACCTGGGAGTTTGCCGGCAGCGGAGAAGGAGAAGGGGGGGGAAGATGCCCAGCGTGGGAGACTAGAGAAAGAGTCCTGGGCTGAGATTGCAGCCGTCCGGGGAGTCCGGGAATTTTAACCCTTTCCTGTGAAATGAAGGCTTTATGAAATATTACTTCTCCTGAATTTGAAGGAAAGAGAGACAGCCTGGGACCTCAGATGTTCAGAGAAGAAGGTTGGGGGGAGATGATGGAGTGGCTTTTGGCTGGACTCTGCTTGTTTACCATAGACTGAACCACTCTTTCTTTCAAGAGGGACTGCATTTCAGGGGGATGCACTGGTGAGCCAAGAGACCTTCTTCAGCAACTACCAGTTTTGGAATGGACAGAGAGAGCTGAGGAGGGTGTGAGGATGCCCTCCATCTTCAGAGAAGAAGAGAAGGCGATCTCTGTCCTTGGACCCTCGGCCCCAGGGGAAAATGGGGGGGACTCTAGTCCCGAATTGTGATACTGGACTGTTGTTCCTGGTGGTCTTTGGCAAAGCATCCTTAAAGGGGCCCTATAAGCAGTCTCTGTCCATGCACGGTGGTGAGAGCACTGTGACATGAAGAGGAGAATGTCACACTGGCCGGTGTGTCTGGGCGGTGCCACGTGTGACATTGGAAACACAAGAGGTGGCAGCTGTGTTTCCTGGGGGTCTGTGGTGCAAGTGGGACTCCTCTCTTCCCCGATGGACTCAGTATTGATTATATTGAAGGGTGAAAACTTGATTAAGGATCCAAATGGGTCTCGCTGTGGTTTGGTGGAGTTGGGTGGTGGGAGGAGGAATGTTTTGGAAGGTTTTCATTTCGAATTTTGTGTGTGTTTTTTTTCTTTCCTTTCTTTTCCTTTTATAGTAGTAGTAGTAGTAGTGTAATAAAGTTTTTTCCTTTGTTATTAAGTTTGGCCTGCTTTGCTCTGTTCTTGATCACATTTCACAGCATTTGATTGGTAAGTTGTATTTTCATGGGGCGCTGGCATTGTGCCAGCGTCAAACCATGACAGATGTGCTATAGCTTCAGCATGCCGTGCAGGTTCGACCGTGCTCACTGGTGCCAGGTGGGGGGGCCGCACCCCCTGCAGCAGCTTTTAAAGATTGCTTGTATGATAGATTTAAGTTTGAAATAATAAAAGCAATGGGATATAAACACTGAAGGCTAAAACAATAAAAATTTAGTTTTATAATGCTAAATACTGAATAATAAAATAATACTGAAAGATTCACAACAAAATACATTGTTAAAAAGGCAAGTAACTGGAAATATAACCGGTTTGAGTATTGTGAAGTTTCCCTCAAGGCTTTAAATTTGTATCAAGTGTCCCTTTAGATATCTGGGCCGCTCCTTCCAATGCTTGAAAGCACCTGGGGCACTTCACCAAGGTACCATTGGGGGGGGGGGGGCAGTGTCGAGCATCCCAATGGCTCCTATACAAAATCTGAATGCATAAAAATTCCCCACTGTGTTAACACATCCGTCCCCCACAAAACCAGGGGCACAGACAGCACAAAAGTTGTAACTGTGGCTACCTGCCCATCAGGCCTTGTTATTTGCAAAAAGTGTTGGCTTTGCAAGTTTTGACTATTCCCACACATCCAGAGAGTACCTGAGGCACAGTCGTTAATGGCCAATCACTGGACCATTGGCTTTTTGAGATAACAGTCACATCTGCACCACTATCAATGAGTCCTGCTAAAATTATGTCTCTGCCTTTCAGAGTCACTTTGCATTGGCATGTGGGATGCTGAGATGTAATACATTGTGTCCAAAAAATCTGTGTGACCCCTGTGGAACCAACCCCCCCTTCCCTCTGTTCAGCTATCGGGGGTGCAAATAGGGGTGCTGCTGGGAAAAGTATGTTTTGGGCTATATGGGAGCCATATGGCTCCCAGCTGAGACTACACAGGGCAGCTGGGGGATCCAAGCCATGATCTTAATTCCCTCAACCGAGTCAGAGTCAATAGCCCCAGGGAGAACAAGCAATCCTGTTATCAAAATGGATGATCTGCCCAAAAGCAATGCATGCATATGTTGTCCCGGTGGTCTGAAAACTCCTGTGGGGAGTAAATGAACAGATGAATCAAGTAAAATTACTGTGTTGGAGGTTGCCAGGTCCAATCCTGTGCCCCCTGGTGTGGCGGGTTGTAAATCATCAACAGTCCGGCCAGGGCTGCTTGTAGTTTGGTGAAGGCTGCTTGGGGTGGCAGCTGGGCTGAAGCTTGTGGTGGTCCACTCTGAGGCATTGGCTGAGGCATTTGTGTCTTCGCATGGTGCCATCCCATGCTTTGGCTCCAGTTTCCCAAAATTGGACACCTTTCAAAATCATACTTGGATGGACATTGATTAGCATAATGCCTCCCCTTACGACACCAAGGGCAAATACCGGGAGTTTTGGATCTGGCCTCCCCCTTTTTGGAATAGTCCTTTTAAAAATGCCCAGATTTCCTGCACCCAAAGCACATTCGAGGGGTCCTCCTCTGTGGTAGATAGGGACAGGCGATCGGAAGATCTCGGGATGTGACGGAAAGAAAGACCCTTCCCCCTTTCTCCCTGCTTCACGTTATCTATCACCCCCAGAGCATGTAACCACACCTAACCCAGTAGTTTTCCACTCCCGACTAACCTGGAGACCCTACCAACCCCCCTCTGAAGTAGCAAAGTCCCCCAAGACTATTTAAACCCATGAGATAAGATAATAAAGGCTTTCGACCGTCCACCACATTGGTGTTAGCGTGTTGTCGTTAGCCCGAGTAGCCCGGACGAGGCTGAGCTGCCGTGCTGTCGCCTTGCAACCAGGTCGCACGTTGCCTCCCCTGAAGGCAACATATCTGGTGCCGAAACCCGGGAGGAGACATTTGCTCGGGTAGCGGGAGTTCACCTGGACAAGGACAGCGGCCGGAGCGGTCAGACCGTATCTTGGCGCAGGGAGACGTCCCAGGACCCGCGAGCGTCATGGACAGCATCGCCAGGGTCATAAGTGTGATTTATAAGCAATGGGGTATTGAGTGTAAGCTCAAAGACTTTTATCTTGCTATAGCAAGGCTGCTTGAGCTTGGGGCGATTGAACGCCCAGTGGATGTTCTGCATCCAGGAATATGGGAAAAATGCACAGCCACGCTAGCCGAGGACACGAAAACCTCAGGCAGTGGCAAGAGCCTTAAGGCGTGGGGCAAAGTAGAGAAAGCCCTGTGCAGAGCAATAGAAGAGCAGGAGACGTGGAGCGCGGTGCATACGTGTTTATTAGTTACTCCCAAGCTTGGGGTAGGAGCGGGAACGCAGACCGCCCCTGAGAACGATCCGCCCGGGAGCGGAGATCCAGGGGGGGCCCGGCGCGTCACCCCCCTCCTCAGATCAGAGCCCAACCCCCGCCGCGGAAACCCCCCGGAAAACCGCAGCTTCCCCGTCCGTCCCGCCGCCGCCGGTCAGCGACCCGTTGCCGGAGGTGCAGCAGCGCGCAGAATGCTTTTGGCAGGGGCTGGCGAGGGAAGCCAGAGACACAGAAACCGCAGCTTGGGAGGAGATGCTAACCACACTGCCACCCTACCCCTTTGAAAATGGCGCTGGCCGCCAAGGAGAGGGGCGGGGTGCGGGTGGTCTCAGCGCAAAAACCCGGGAAGCGCGTGATTTCAGGGACACGCGTGCGCGGGAGAAAGAGGAGGAGGGCGGCAGAGGGCACGGACCCAATCGGCAGCCGTGCCTGACGCTGCTACCAGCGGGGAGGAGCGAGCTCGGAGCCGGACAAAAAGGCACCGAGCCCCGGAAATGCACTGGCATTCGACTTCCGACTCGGAGTCCAGCAGCAGCTCCGCCAGATCGGAAGAGCTGACGGGAGCCAGCTGGAACTCTGAGACGGAGGAAACAGAGCCAACGCGATTTAAGACAAAACCGAGTAAAGCTCTAAGCCGCACCGAAAAACAACTACAATACGAACCAGCCCAGTTTACCAGCTGGGGAGAAACATCCTGTTGGGGCTGTGGGAGAAAAGGGCATCTCACCAAGGAATGCGGGTCCCGGCCCCAGGGAAACGGGACGGGGAGGGGGTGTGCGGGCCGCACCCAGCCTCCTCCCGCTGCGAATACAAGGCGGTCCATCTATGCCAACCCCCAGTGGGGCGGGGAGCCCTCATACCCCATACCCCCGCCAGTGACACAATTGCAGAGTTTCGCAACACAGCCTGCGGTACCCTCGTAACCACTACCACCGCAAGCAGCGCCTGTGCCGCCGGGTCAGCAGGGGGTGCCCCAGAACGGGACCCCTGGGTGGCCCTGGCCATGAAAATAGGGAAGGAGCCCCCGAGGGTGTGGGGGACATGCCGCCTTTATGGCAGTCAAGACCCCCACGTAATAGGGCTTCAGTTTTGGGCAGACACAGGAGCAGACTGCTCGATCTTGCCCCAAGCACTGTGGCCCCGACACTGGCAATGCAAAGAGGTCCCCCCAGTGAATGGAGTGGGAGGGCCGTCCCAAGCTTGGAAAAGCACCCAATTAGTAGCTATAACGCTTCATACAAAAAAGGGACCAGAACAAACAGTAGCAATCCACCCCTGATAGGAAGGGACATCCTTGCTATGTTAGGAGTCAGGATTACAAATTTATAATGAGGGCCACTGCCGTACACCCACTGCTGCCAATCAAACCTGACCTTCAGAATGAAATTAATGGAAAACTGTGAGTTTCTGTTTGCAGGACATGCTCGTGGACCGTCCCCGTGACGCATACACCCCTGCTCCAGAGGGACATGACAGACCACCAAGCCGCCAGACAAAACCAGAGAGTCCCACACCGGTGAGACCCAGACATGCACAGTGTCTTTGTGCGATTTTGCTGTTGGGGCTTGTGGCCGGGGGGCTTGAGGACCGAGAAGGTGGGTGAATGTACGAATTATCAGGCTCCAACCACCAGCACCTTGACCAGTGTGACCCAATAAAGTTATCAAGAACGTGCTAAAAGGAAAAAACACAACCCACCCCAAAACCTTGCCCCCAAAAGTCACTGATACCCCGACCGGCCTTGCGGATGTCCTCCGGATAGGCCGCACGGCTGAGTCAGATCCAAACCCAATCTTTCGCATGCTAGAAGCTACCTTCCTAACCCTAAACGAAACCAAACCGAACCTAATTAACTCCTGTTGGCTTTGCTATGATGTTAAACCCCCTTTCTACGAAGGCATTGCTTTAGACACCCCCTTCAGTTACTCCACAGCCAGTGCCCCCCACCAGTGCAGATGGGAAACTACCCGCAGAGGAATCACCCTGAGTCAAATCAGAGGACAGGGCAGATGTTTTGGCAATGCAACTTTAGCAAAACAGAAAGGCAACTTCTGCACTAAAGTTGTCAAGCCCGACAGAAAAACCAATAAGTGGGTGGTCCCATCCGCATCTGGGATGTGGGTTTGCCAGCGATCCGGAGTGAGTCCTTGTGTGTTCCTTGCCAAATTTAATGACTCTATCGACTTCTGTGTCCAAGTTCTGATTGTTCCTAGGGTCCTGTACCACTCAGACGAAGAGATATACCACCTTCTCGAGGAACCTGACAGACTCCACAAAAGAGAAATAATCACAAGTATAACTATCACAATGCTGCTCGGCCTGGGAGCAGCTGGCACAGCCACGGGTGTCTCAGCCATCGCAACCCAACAGCACGGACTCTCTCAGCTGCAAATGACCATCGACAAAGACCTGCAGAGGATCGAGAAATCCATCTCCTATTTAGAGAAATCAGTCTCTTCGCTTTCAGAAGTACTTTTACAAAATAGGCGAGGACTGGACCTCTTGTTCATGCAACAAGGAGGACTGTGTGCAGCCTTGAAAGAGGAGTGCTGCTTTTATGCAGATCATACAGGAGTTGTTAAAGACTCCGTGGCAGAACTCCGAGATAGACTGGCTCAGAGAAAGAAAGACAGGGAAACCCAACAGAGCTGGTTGGAATCCTGGTTCAATCAATCACCTTGGCTCACCACTTTAATTTCCGCCCTGGTAGGTCCACTGGCAATACTGCTTTTAGCTGTTACCATAGGACCATGCCTGCTGAACAAACTAGTCCTGTTTGTTCAGGCCCGTCGAGAACGGGCAAACATTCTGTTCGTAGGCCAGCAACAAATGCTGTAAACCAAAAACCACAAACACAATCAGTCACAAAAGCCTTCGAAACTCGCCTTGCGAAAATTACTCAGGTTTACCAAACCACCCTTTCCTTACCAAGTTACAAGTTTGTACCTCACTCCAGTGCCTATATCTATGACTACCTCATTTTATATATGATAAGGAGGGGGGAGATGTGGTAGATAGGGACAGGCGATCGGAAGATCTCGGGATGTGACGGAAAGAAAGACACTTCCCCCTTTCTCCCTGCTTCACGTTAACTATTACCCCCAGAGCATGTAACCACACCTAACCCAGTAGTTTTTCACTCCTGACTAAACCTAGAGACCCTACCAACCCCCCTCTGACGTAGCAAAGTCCCCCAAGACTATTTAAACCCATGAGATAAGATAATAAACACTTTCGACCGTCCACCACATTGGTGTTAGCGTGTGTCGTTAGTCCGAGTAGCCCGGACGAGGCTGAGCTGCCGTGCTGTCGCCTTGCAACCAGGTCGCACATTGCCTCCCCTGAAGGCAACACTTCCCACATGTGTTCCCAAATTTCTGTCAAATTTCTGACTAAAGCTCCCCACAGAACTGGATTTCCTGCAGAAGTTGGTGTTGGCAAGCAAGCTCTTATAGAAGTTACATTCTGTAATCTGCCAAAATATTGCACTAACTTTAAGACCACATTTCTCTTGCTAGAGATTAACAACATAGTTTCTATAATTATTATGAATATGCAATTATTTATTGTATTTATCTAGAGCCAATAGAAAATAATATCCTATACCTAAAACAATAGTATTTATATATTTAAAAAAATCCACTGTGTTAATCAGTCTTGTTTCTGCTGTGGTTTTTGTGTTGTTGCTTGTTTAACCCGCATGTGATGAGCCCAGGGTTCAATTCCTTCCATCCTGAATGCAGTGTAGGTTACTAGGAGGACTTGAAAAAGTCCTTTCCACTTTTCCTTCAAGGGATCAGAGTTCCAAGTCTTTACATAAACAAAATCCCCAGGTTGGTATGGGTGAACAGGTGTATGCAAAGCAACTGGTCCCAATAGGGTTTAAAACCAACTGAGTCCAGCAAGAATCTTTCTTAAAGAAATCAAGTATAGATTTAAATCTGTTTCTCCCATGTGAATGTATTTCTCTGGGAATTGATGGTGTTTGACAGGGCCATCCATACAGCAATTCATAGGAATGTAGTTTAGGTTTTGACCCTGACTGAATTCTGACTGGCCAAAGAGACAGAGGAAGGATCTGTGGCCATTTAAAATAGGTTTCTTGGCACATTTTACTAATTTGTTGTTTTGGGGTAATTTTATGATGATACTCAATGCCCTTATCATCTGCTCTATGCCCAGAAATGGCTTCTGCAGTTTTAAGGTGGGTCCAAGAGAGGGGCATGAGCCTTGGGGCTCTTGCAGGGCTTTGTTCAAAGCCTCACTCCTAGGAGTGCTTGGGTGTGGTGCAAACCAGCATTACTTTGTTGCTTAGCTAGATTGGTCTTTTGTTAGCTTAGGCAAGAAGGTTTTTCCCCTTTCCCTGGCCTGTGACAGCAATCCTTCAGCAGTTTTTGTTTTTTCTTGAACTGTTCATCTTGGTTTTGGTCCAAGATCAGATAATCCACGATCAGCCTCAGACCTTGGCAAAAGCTGAACCAACACGAGAAAGGACACCAAAATCCACCAGCTTCATCTGCTGTGAGGAGGAGACCAATGCCAAAGATTCAACAGGTTCCCATCTTTTTTGCCCAAGCTGCTGCACGAACCTTTTTCCTTCCCTGTGACAAAAGCCGGGCACCATTTTGTTCCCCCTGCCACACAACAAGTTGGTTTGTTTCCTTCCCTGGCATTTTGGTTTTTTTGTTCTGCTGTGGGTGTGTGTGTGGGGGGGGGGGGTGAGGTTCTGATAGTTTAATATCTAGCATTTATTCATTTTTTGCCCCGTGCTGTGCAGGCACTTTGTTAATAAATAGTTGGGGTTTTTTTTTTTTCATTTTCACCCACTGGTATTCATTTTTCTCACTGGCAGAAAAGGGATTGCTGAAGCCCTTTTTCTTTAGAGGAAATTCTCATTCCAGAGCGTTTTCTCCTAAATTTGTCTCTACACTGTGACATTTTTAGTTTCAAAGTCTGATTCATTCTTTCCACTTTCCCACTCGACTGTGATGGCCAAGGGGTGTGTAAGTCCCATTTTATACCCAGGGTTTTTCTCAGCTCTCCTGATTCTTAGTGGCTTATAGTATTTTTGCTAAGCATTGATCCTTGATTAACTAAAATATGAATATTGATCGAATATCGATATTCAACTGAGATGGACAAAAAAGTCTCTAACAGTTTAAAGTTAGAAAGTGTATATTTTATTACAATGGCCGGGCAGTACATGGGATAATTCCCTAATGCACACTGCAAAAATCACATGTATTACAAAGCCCTTTTATTTACAGAAGTCTTGAATACACAAAATATTAATGTATATTCATATCCCTGTCACTTCCTCTGCTCTGCTTCGTATGCTAATTGGTAAAAAGGCTATTAAGCATGCATAGTTTTGTTGAGTTGGGGGTCCATTTTGGAGAGGGGTCTCCAAAATGAGGAAGTAAAATAAGTCTTCCTTGTTCTGACCTTTCTACCTTTCCAATGCATACATGACAAATGAATTTTTGTAGTTTTCCCATGTTCAATAGATTCCTCAAGTATGGCAAGTCTGCAACTGCTTTTGTGTCCCTGAAATCTGTTTATCACATTCTGTTTTTCATGATAAGCACAGCTACCCAAACATAAAGTTGAGCAATGAGTTATTTGCTGCATAATTTTTCAAATAAAGTGTGGCCCCCTATCTGAGGATATGGTGTCTGGAACTCCAAATCGTGGCATTATCTCTTGCAACAGTGCTTTGGTCACCTCTTGGGCCTTAGCTGTCCTGGCAGGAAAGGCTTCTGGCCATCCTGAAAAGGTATCAGTTAACACCAATAGGTAACGGTACCCTCCCTTCCTGGGCAGTTCTGTAAAATCAATTTGCCATGGTTTCCCAGGTCCACAACCTTTCCCAATTTGTCCCACTTTAGGCTTTGGGGTATTTTTAGGGTTAGTTCAGAGGCAAAGGCTACACTGACAAGTTACTTGTACTACTGTGCCCTGCAATTTTCTGGCCATGATTCTTTCTTTTGAATGGTTATACAGAGCATCTATTCCCCAGTGTGTTTTCTCATGTTCCCTCTGTACTAATGACCGCAACAAATAGGAGGATACGACAAGTTTCTCTTCTTCTGTTACAGCCCATCCCTCCTGGTCATAACTTGCCTTTTCTACCTTAATAAGTTTCCTATCCTTTTTATTGTACACTGGCTTACCTTCAATAGAAATTTTTCCATCTGGAATCAATGCTGCCTCTACTGTCTCATCAGGTATCTCACCTTTTGCTGCGTCTTTTGCTTCCCTATCTGCCAGCATGTTTCCCTCTTCTAGTTCAGAGCTCACTTTTTGGTGCGCTTTGATGTGCACGATAGCTGAACCTTCCCGGGTAGCTGTACCGCACCCAATAGTCTCAGTATTGCTTGGGCATGTTTAATGTTCCTCCCTTGCGAGTTGAACAGTCCTCTCTCCTTCTAAATGGCTCCGTGTGCATGGACCACCCCAAATGCATATCTTGAGTCCATGTAGATGTCAATTTCTTTTCCTTTTTCCAGCTCTAGGGCCCAAATTACGGCGACTATTTCAGCCTTTTGTGCAGAAGTATTTGTTGGTAATGGTCCAGATTCTACTACCTGTCTGCTTGTGGTAAGTGCATACCCAGCATGCCTTTCTCCACTGATGACATAGCTGCTTCCATCCGTAAACCAGGTTTCGTCATTCTCAAGCGGGGTATCCTTCAGATCTGGACGGCTGGAGTAGGTGGCTTAAATGGTCTCCAGGCAGTCGTGGATTACTGGTTCGCCCATACTCCCACTGAGGAAGGAAGCTGGGTTCACAATGTTAGTTACCAAAATTTCCCGCAGCCGGAGAAGCCTTTAAGGCTATGGTGAAGAAAAAGAGTAGGTTCTGATGGAGGGTTCAATCCAGAGCTTTTATTCTGGCCCGCAGGCCTCTGAATCCAGTCACAGCTCCAAGCAGAACGCTGAATCCTGTCATTGCTCCATCAGAACACCCTGGACTGCGTGGTTCACATTTCTTTTATCTGGGGAAGGGGAGGAGGGAAGGAATAGGGACCCCACCAACCAGGTATGGGAGAGGAGGTTGTAGGGAATGCGGGGGCTCCAGGACGGTTTCAATGAATGGAGATGAGAGAGCTCTGAAGGTTGCTCTTAGAATATAGGGTTTATTAGGGATGGTGAAAGGTCTTGCTTGGAGCTACCAGACGCAGCACATGGCAAGGCCTGAGGTGATGGGGGAGGGTAGAGACAAGGAGTTCCAAGAGAGGGTGGAAGATCTAAGAGGGGGGAGTTCCAAGAGGGGGGAGTTCCAAGAGGGGGGAGAATCCAAGAGGGCGTCTGGCTCCTTGGAGACCCCTTATCAGGGGGCTTCAAGGTGGGCTGGAACAAGACTTGGGCCAATGGGGTTACAGACACTTGATGCTTCAGGGGAGGGATACAGGTGTGGGATGAACCATACATTTTGGGGGGCTGAGATGGAACAGTCCATTTGACTTTTGGACCTATCTGTAGGTAAAGGTATTGTCCAGCCAGTAGGGGGGGTTGTTTTCATCCTGGCTATACTATTGTAAATCTTTTGCCAGGCAATTATATTTATCAATCCTTCCCAGCAACTCCCCCGTTCTGTTGAACTATTTGAGATACTAAATATTGACTTAACCATTATTCTCTGCACACTTGGAGGTATACAGGGCATTGCTATTAAAACTACACGTATTACTATTGGAACAATCAAGCTTACTTTACAGAGTTCCTTTAGCTAAGGTGCAAAGCTCAAACCATCAAATAAACTGTTCAGCTGAGATAGATCATCTGTTATTAAACCACTGATTATAGTAAGGGGGGCATTTACTTCTTTACTGAGCCAACATCTTAACTTGTTTGACTGCTTTAGGGTAATGGTAGAACTTAACTGAGGTAGCATTATCAAAACTTTCTGGAAAAGGTCCTCTAATTAAACAGGTTGAAAAAAGTTTGTCAGGGCTTGTGTCAGATAGACAGATGGTAGCAGAGCCTGCAGACTTGGCTAAAGCAACCATGGCATTTGTCTTTGGTTGACTCACAGGTAAAACTTCAATACAAAAACTAAAACAAAAGAACAAAAGCAACATGCACGCATGCAAACGATACAAGTCTATTCTTTTCTTGAGCTGTTTCTGGCAGGTCATTTTCTCTTGATGACTCTGTGCAGTTCAGGTCTGGGTGCTTGCTTCTTGGCTTGAACTTGCAGAAGTACAGCCTGGTGCAGGGGTGCCAGCAGATTTCAGTGCGTGGTAGGGCTTCACATTCTTTGCTGGGACCCACTCGAGTCCTTCACCTGTGAAAACACAAGCAAAACCTCTCCCCCATGTTATAAACTTGTGTGGACCTTCTATTTGTCCTGAATCTAAGGTTTTGCTGAAAACTGGGGGTGCCCCTTTATTTTTGCTTTTTTGTTGTTCAGAAAATGTTTGTAAAGTGGGGGGGGGTCAGGCTCTCCTGCAGCGCTATTTTAAAAATTGTAAACATACAGAGCCTTACTCAACCTCTTTTGAGGTGTAGCCTGATCTACTCCCCCTTTCTGTTGATTTAAAATACGTTTTAGGGTTTGATATGTTCTTTCTATGGTACTCTTCAACAGCTGTTTAAAATAGGAAGAGGAGATACCACCATCATTTATTGCTTTTCGCAATTCTTTCAAGTCCTGGGAAGGGATAACTGTCCATATTCTGGGACCAGCAGGTTGCTGGCTGGATACCACAGGCATGGTTCGGGGATTCAGACTGTCCTCTTTGTGACTATCACGTCTGATTCCATGCCAGTCTGTCAGTTGGAGATTATCAACACCTTTCTGGGAATTTTGTAAAATCAGGATAAGAGGGTTAGGATTTGCAAGGGCAAAACAGTTCTCTGTCTGTCCTTTATTTGTCAAAGCGGCTGCCACATTCCATCTTTCTCCCTCTTGCTGCATGGTTTCTGTGCCAAGCTGTGGTGAGGTACTGCTTGGACCAGGTGCAGGAACTGCTGGTAGCTGAGGCAGAGAAGCAGGAGGAGTGGAGCCTGTCAGCAAAGGCACATGGGAATAACCTGCATGTGCGGAAGGATATGTCATAAGATTTGTGCTCTAGACCCATTGTCGCGAATGAGTTGTTTAGCCGCTTAAAGAAACACTGTCAAAAGTATTGGAAAAAGCAGGGTTTAATTTGGGTTTGTGAAAAAGTGACTTTGCACAGTTCTATGGCAAGGTTCACTCTATTGCTTACTGCAACAGATTAAAGCATACAAAGAAAGATCAAACTAGAAGTAATTTGGAATTATTTACACAGAAACCAGGAATGTAAAAGGGGTAAGGGTGTAAAGGATATGAATGCAAAGATAATAGATTCACAGACACACAGGCAAAACCATGTCTACACCTATTTCTACATATGTAAATGTACCTATCAAAATCCCTCATGTTCAATGAAATACGTCAATTCCCTTTGTGTTTCCCAACAGGCAAGGGTTGCACCTGGAGGAGCATGGAGATGGGGGATATCAGCCTAGGCCTCATTGTCAGTGATGGTCCTTTGAGTATGACAAACTTGATAGTTTGTGAGCTCTGAGAGGCCCCACTTAGAGGGAGGTGCTGACTCAACCCACTGCGGTCTAGGAGATCTCAAAGGGCCTCACTCAGAAACGCTGTTTATAGGGTCACTGAATCACAGAAGCACTTAGGTTAGAAAAGACCTCTGAGATCATTGAGTCCAACCTTTGACTGATCACCATGTTGTCATGATTGGCTTTAGTCCTCAGTAAGTTTCCCTCCTGGACATAATCCAAGCTGATAACTACTGGCCTTTTTTTCCCAGAAAGTCCAGTAACAATGGTATTGCTCCTGTCAGAGTACGATTCATGTAAATGGTTTACCAAGGCTACAAAGGATAGCTGCTTATCCTTTGTTTCCCACCTTTATTGGGCAGATGTTTTTTCTGATTTTTCCTACCTTTACCATACAAGTGCTCCTAGTACAACCAGGGTGTGCCTCGTTGACCAACTGGTACCATCAAGGGATGCTTCACTGCTCAACTGGGGCTTTTGAGCTTGTAGACCAGGCCCAAGGATGAGGGGAAAGGAGGGGGTGATGGGTATATACCACCCTAACCCTTCACCAGCTTCAGTGCCCTACTTTGGACATGCTCCAGGACCTCAATGTCTTTCCTGTAGTGAGGACCCCAAGTTGGAACACAGGACATTCTCCTGAGTTTCCTGCCTCTTCTTCCAAAGTTATTAAACTCTAATTTTTTTCCTGAGTTACAGCAAAATGTCTCTGTTCAGTCAGGCTGGTCATCTTCCCTGCTGGCTTGTCATTTGGTACATGGGGACAGCCTGCTCCTGCACCTTGAAAATTTCTTTATTGAAGAGTGTCCAGCCTTCCTGGACCCCTTTTCCCTTCAGGACTGCCTTTCAAGGGACTCTCTCAACCAGTATCCTAAACAGGCCAAAGTCTGCCCTCCAGGAGTCCAAAGGAACAGTTCTGCTGGCACCTTCCCTTACTTCTCTAAGAATTCTCATTAATTTTGTGACTGCTGTGCCCAAGACGGCCTCCAACCATCACATCATCCACCAGTCCCCTGTTCATAAACAACAGATCCAGCAGGGCACCTCCTCTGGTTGATTCACTGACCAGCTGTGTCAGGAAGTTCTCTTCCTCACACTCCTGGACTGTTTTCTCTTTGATGTGTTGTATTTCCAGCAAAAGTCTGGTAAGTTGAAATCCCCCATGAGAACAAGGGCAAGCAATCGTGAGACTTCTCCCAGCTGCTTATAGAATATTTCATCTGCCTCCTCATGCTGATTGAGTGCTCTGTAACAAACTCCCACCAGGATATCTGCCTTGTTGGCTTCACCCCTGATCCTTACCCATAAACACGTGACCCTTTCATCACCACTGGCAAGCTCTAGACAGTCAAAACACTCCCTAACATACAGGGGCTACCCTGCTGCCTTTCTTGCCTTGCCTGTCCCTTCTGAAGAATTTATAGCCATCCATTGTAGCATTCCAGTTGTGTAAGTCATCCCACCATGTCTCCATGATGGCAACTATATCATAGTGTTTTCCAGCTGTGCAATGTTTGTTGCTCCTCCTGTTTGTTGTCCATGCTACATGCATTGGTGTAGATGCACTTCAGCTGGGCTATCGATCTGGCCATCTTTTTAGGGGGAAAAGCCCTCATTCCTATGTGATTCTTTTCAGGCACTTCCATAGTTTCTGATAAATCAATAACCCCTGTGTCTTTGCTGCCACATAGATCTCTATTCCCTACCTCCACTGAGATGGCAGAGCAAAGGACCTTGCTAGCACACCCCTCAGTCACATGCCTCCCCCCCCACCCCTTCCCCCATCTTACCTGTAGCAAGCTTGGTTTTATCCCTTTCCTCCTTCAAAGATTGTTTAAAGCTCTTTCAATGAGCCCTGTTAACTCCTGTGCAAAGATCCTTTTCTTCCTTTGAGACAGGTGAACCCAGCAGGCCTGGTGTTGTATAGACTGACCCATGATCAAAGACCCCCAAAGTTCTACCAGTGACACCACACTCAGTGCCAGGTATTGAGTTGCTGGCTCTTCCTGGTTCTTCCTTCATCATTCCTTGTGACTGGAAGGATAGAGGAGAACACTTCTTGTGCCTCTGATTCCTTAACCAGTTGTCTCAATGTCCTGATGTCTCTCTTGATTGCCCTCAGACTTCTTGTTGCAACCTCATTGCTGCCTACCAGAAAAATCAATAGTGGATAATAATCTGAGGGCTGTACTGGGTAGGAAGCTTTCTCTTCACATCTTTAATGCCCCAGGGAGGCAGCAAACTTCCTTAAGGAGTGGGCCTGATCTGCATATGGTACCTTCTGTTCCCT